ACCTGTTGTGCTCAAGATTTTTTTTTTCCTGCCTTTTATTTCTTTAAGTGGCAGAGAAAACAAACCCAACCCAGACCCCTAGAATGTAACAGCTGTGTCCTATCTTGGAAGAAAAGACATTTACTCATCTCTGTTTTTAAAAAAAAGTCACATAATACCCTTGTATAAGAGACCATACTACTATAAAATTTATATTATTTTAACATCTAATAAATGTAAGTGTTGTGTAAAGCCTTGTATTGACTAGGAAATAACAATGAAAGACACAATTTTCTTTCAAATATTCTTCATCTGTGCTTGGCTGAATCCAAGGACACAGAACCCACAGTAAGCAATGACTAACTATGAGAAGATGTTTTTATACTTCCTGAGTTCTGGAGACAGGGAACACGCCATAAAGTCAATGCCGGATACAGGAGACCTTGCTCGGTTTGAGACTGGCTATTGCAGACTCACGGCATGGCTCTGGGTAAGCTGTTGTCCTCTCCAGGCCTCACGTTTGCTATTGACAACAGGGATGGTGGAGAAGAGGCCTATCATCTGGTGCTCAGGGTGTATTTGGTGCGAAGCCTTATCTTGAAGCTAGAGTCAGTGCCAAAGTCAAGTCTTGCCTTTCACACTCAGAGAAGAGCCAGCTACTTCTGCTTTCCAGGCTGGTGAGAATCTGTCCCACTGGCTTCAGTTGGCCTGGATGTTGGCTCCCTCTACTGGCTCAGAAACAAACATTTATTGGGGTGGAGGTGGACTTCATTCTCTTTTGACTTTTTTCTTTTTTCTTTTCTTTTCTTTTCTTTTCTTTTCTTTTCTTTTCTTTTCTTTTCTCTTTTCTTTCTTTCTTTCTTTCTTTCTTTCTTTCTTTCTTTCTTTCTTTCTCTCCTCTCCCTCTCCCCTCTCCCTCTGCCCTCCCCCTCTCCCCTCCCCTCTCCTCCCCTCCCCTCTCCTCCCCTCCCCTCCCCTCCCCTTCTCTCCTCTCCCCCAGGTGTGGCTGGAAGCTTCAGTACCCTAGGATTACAGGGACCACTGTTCCTCACAGCTTTAATAGAAGCCACAAGGAGATGGCATTTGACACACTACTGTTTAAGCACCTCTCCATCGGAAGCTGAATATTTGCAGTATGAAACCAGTTACTCCTGGAGTCAGTCTGCACAACAACAAAGGTGATGTGGACATCACCTACCTGGGAACAGGGCTGACCCCAGAAGGCCTCAGGGAAGGGAGAGGGACTCACGCTGAACAACATACTGGTTATGGGAGTGAGGGTTTCAAACAGGCAAGCTAAGACTTACTTCCCAAACTGCTCTTAGGGGACTGAAGCTCTCTGTCTTTCCACTCTCTCACAGGAGTTTGGATTGACTGCAAGCATGTAGACTGAGACAGCACGCAGCACACAGCAAGTGCTCAAAGCTAAACAAAACAAAAGTTTTCTGTTCAGAAAGATAAACAAAATTCATTACTGCTTAAAGCCTCAGTTTTCACGGTGTGGGCTCCAGTTACCTTTCCAATGAGCTATTCTTTGGACTGTGTATAAAAGGCCAACAGCTTCTGTGGCATGAGGCTAAATTAACCTAGTCTTGAATTAGATGCCATGCTTCCCGGCTGAATCCAGCAGGTCATTCAATCTCCGAACCTTCGATTCCTCTCTGTGATCTGGATACCGATGCTTAAGAATAATGAGCAGGTAGAGGAAACTAACTTGCCTAGCCAGAAATAGAAGGGTCTAGTGCCTCCAAGTGTTGCGGGAAAGCGCCTTGTACTTGGCTGAGTTTGAGGCAAGTGTTTATATAATCAGAAATAACATTTTGAAAAGCTCTTTGCCTAGTTACTGAAAAGCCTCCCCAGAAGGATAATGCGAAGCCCTGCAAATACACCCAAATCTTGGGCCCCATCTGAGACCCTGCTCTAAGCCAGTCTCTACTGGACACATCCTCTTGGTGTCAAATGGCACAGCTGTCCTAATAGGAGGAATTTGGGATGTGGATTTTTCCAAGCAGTCCCCATCTCAGGGAACAGCGTCACTAACCACCCACTGGTTATATCTAGGTGTGAGCCTTGAGATCCCCTTTCTTCTCCACCTACAGCAACCCACCAACAATCACCTCTGGATGTCCACGCAAAGAAGGTCTTTGTCCATTCCAGCCTGGTGTAAGTCAAAGCCACAACCGTCCTGTGTCCTCAGCCTCTGCCTGCCCCCACCCCTTTGCCAGTGAGCCACAACAATCCTAAATCTGAGCTGGGCATAGATTACACACCTATAATTCAAAACCTTGGGAGGCTGTAGCACTGGGAACTAGAGTCTGAAGTCAGGTTACATAGAGTTCCTGGTATGCTGTAGCACTGTCAGGAAGAAGGAAACTAGGGAGGAATGGATGGGAGGGGCAAGGCAGGGAGGGAGGGAGAGGAGGAGGAAGGAGGAAGGCAAGGGAAAGAAGTAGGGAAAAGGGAGAAGGAAAACAGGGAGGAGGCAGGCAAATAGAAAGAAAAAAGTAGAAATGAAAATCTGGAAGTCTGACCCTGACACTTTTCCACATAATTTCCTGCACTCCCTCCCTCTGGTGCTTTGGTATAAACCTCTGTCCCTTCTCTGTGTACCTTCTTACCAAGCCCAGCCACACTAAGTGCCTCAAGATTTGGGGCCATTGTGCCCCCCCCCCCCCCCAACTCCAGGAACACCTTTCCCCACGGCAACAATGTGTCATTCTTTTGATCACAGAGCAGTCCTTAATCTGTGGCTGCAATCGCCACCCTTGGTCTGCACATTTACCACAGTTTAAGATCTTACAGACTCCAGGGAGCCCACCATCCATCTCTGGTTTTCCCATGCCCTTGCGTGGCCCCTTCTCCTTAGTGTGGGGCATTCCCAAGATTTACTTCTGAAGAACAGGGACCATGACAAGATATATGTGATTGTGCATATATGGCTCTGTTACACACACACAAATGTAATAGGAATCTTGCTAAGTCACTTTTTCTCGGTGTTTTGAAGACGGAGACTGCAGCTTTGTGAACTGTTGTAAGAAGAGGGACATGAAACAAGGTCCTGGGGCGGGGGGGGGAGGAGGAACGGTCCTCAGTCTGTGGTCCTCAAGGAGCTAGATGTGTCCCATGGCCATGTGACCCCTATCTTGGGGGCAAAGTCAGGGACCTCTGTGCTCCCCAAGAGTGAAGCCTGAGAACCCAGCTCGCTGGATAGCAGCATCCACAGGTTAGATCGTTGCCTGAAGTAACGAGATGTTCAGTAAACAGCAACCATTGCTACTTATACCTCCTGGTGTTGATAACATTAAACAATTCTTGTTCTCTAATGATGGATCCCCCTTTAGGGTCAAGGGTGGGATAGCATAGGATGCAGAAAAGTTAAGGACTCTATGTCCCACTGGGGCCAGTGGCATCATTTGTTTCTCCCCAGTAAACTTCCTTTTCTTCTGATATTCCTGTAAGAGGCTCCTTCCTTATCTACAAAACCATCCAACCATGGGGCCAAAGCGGCTGATGTGGCCCCTCTCCTGCCTCTCACGTGTAGCTAACCACTGGAGCAGATGTTACTATATTGGCCAATGTGATTGGGTCAAGGATGGTCACATGGCCCCGAACTGTCCATTCAAAGCCACGCCTGGAATTTGCCTGTCCTACAGGCTGAGAGCAGCTTTCTAGTCAAGTGCTGAGTGCTGCAAAGAACTGCTGAAAAAGCAGCTCACAGTAAGGAAAGCGGGGTGAAATCACATGAGCTCCAGAGCCTCTGAAGAGCTTGAGGCCCTATCTCAAACACAGTAACAATGATCTCCCCACTCCCCACTGTTGACCGAATGAAACGATTATGTCTCCACATCACTCCTAAGCTTTTGTGAAGAGCTTTGAATTGGGTGTGGTCTCTAACAACTACATAAACCGCGTGCTGTGGTTTGACTGTGCGACGTCCCCCATAAGCCCCTGTGTTCAGCTCCTGGTACCTGCGGCCAGGGGCAAGCCCCGAGGTTGTCGGCTGGGCTCAGTCTCCAGTCTTCTAAATGCTTCCTGACCACACGAGCAGTCTGACTTGCTGCCATCCCCACCACACTGAACTGAAGCCCCTTAAACCGCAAGCCAGATAAACCTTTCTACCCTAAAGTTGCTACTTGTTGGGTATCTTAGCAACAAGAAAAAGGAACTAATGCCCCGTTATTACCCGGGGCCAGGCATGAAGTCATCAGCGAGACTGCGGTGGTTTCATGTTCCCCCAGGTCCATGTAGTAGAGCCTTGGTCATCAGACTAGTGGGACAGAAGGAACCCTTAGAGAATGGAGTCTCTGGGGAGGAAGTTAGGCCATTGCGGACAGACCTTACAGGGGCTATTGGGACCTCAGACTCTTCTTTCTGCTCTCTAGCCACCATGACATGAGCAGGGCCTCCATCATGCACCCCAGCCAGAATGTACCATGCCCCTGCAGGCCCGAATCAACAGGACTAAGTGACTCTGTACTAAAACTCGAAAACTGTGAGCCATAATTTTTCCTTTATAAAGGTGATTCTCTCTGGTGTTTTATCAAGATAGTAGAAATCTGATTAAGGCATGTCTTTACACATGGGAATGGGTAGGAGAAAAAGCATTGCAAGAACCAAATAAATATTTAATAACATACCACAGTAAATGAAATGAAAATTGCACAGGCTTTGGTTTGCGTTGTAGTCTTCAGTGTGTTTGGTTTTGTTGGCTTGTTAAGAAAAGGCTTGGCAGAGGAAGCTCTTTTAAACAATATATACACATCAAGTGCAAATGTGTCAAAGATCAAGGCACTCAACAGGCTAGGCCTTGAGACTTTTTTCTAAAGGACTCCTGGCTTCAAGGTTAAGACTGCTTTTCAAGTTTTAAAAGTCCACAATTCCCCAATCCTGCCCTTCTTTCTGATAAAAAATGAATATGGCAGAAGATCTGGCTCTCTTTGGATTTTTTCTTAACCTCTTATTTCAAATGACTAGAAGGAAAAAAAAAACAAAAAAACTCTCTTCTTGATCCCTTGCCCCCTAAAAAAAAAAAAAAAAAAAGAAAAAGAAACTAAACTTCAGAAACAATCTACCTTACCCACAGTTGGGGCCCAAGACTCAACCTAGGGTCTCTAATTAATGGTCAGGCTTTCCAGTCCCCATGCCCAGGGCTCTGTTAAGGTCAAGACTGCGAACTAGGGTGGAAGGGGTGGAGAGACAACCCTGCCCCTTCAGGAGTTTGGACACAGTGAGAAGAGAAGCCGGGCCCTCTCTCTCTGATGGACCCGAGCAGGGAGGGGACAAAATCTTTGGTTCCATTCAGCCCGTCATTCCTGGTCAAGCCCTTCAAAGTCTGCGGACTTCACAGCCAGCTGACAGTCAACGTTGGCATTTTGTGGTGCCAGTGGCCTGTTGGGTGAAAAGACAAAACGGTTGCTCAGGAGTAACCCCAAGAATGGCCCAGGCACATGGGCAGTACCCTTGACTGGTGCTTTCTGTGAGGTCCTGCCACGGGAGGGAAGAAAGCTGAACTCTCTCTAAGCTGAGGTGACACCTGACAAAGTTTTAGTTGACTCTGAAGATGAGGAAGAGGAGTCTCCCTAGGGAGAGACTTCACTTGATAGAAAGGCTCTCTCGGGCTCACGTGCATGCTCGCGTGCTCTCCCCCTCTTCCACAAGAGTCCCTGGGCTCTGCCTATTGTTTGGCTATGGGTTTCTGCATCTGTTTCCAGCAGCTGTAGCAGTTATCTTATGGCCATGAAGGGGCAAACTCAGGGACTAAGGATGACAGAGCAAAAGGCAGAAGGCGCTGGGTGTATTGGCAACACCACAGCAGTTGTGCCAGCCCTGCGCTGTCACCATCTCTTGGTTATGCAATAAAAAAAAAATCCTATCTGAGTTAGTATGTGCCTCCAGTTATTTTGTTTTTACTTGCCATTAAAAACATCTCTACCTGGCAACAAAAATCATGAAACCTTTGTTCCTCTTTATAAACAAAGATGTGAGGAAGCACTAGGCAAGTCTCACAGTCTCTGTACTCCTAGCTGCTTGGGAGTCTAAGTCATGAAGGACTTTGCAGGTTCAAGGCCAGTCTGGGCTACAGAGTGAGCTCAAGCCAGCCTGATCAACTTACCAAGTGCTTGTCTCAAAATGCAATAATGATAATAATAGTTATTATTATTATCATTGTGTTTTATTATTATTTTAAAGGCCTAGACAGTACTTGCCTCAAATGCCTGAATTCTAAATTCATTCTGCAGTATTGGACTGAGCCGAGTGTGAGGAGGCTAGGCATGCTCTGGCTATTTGGGGAGACCCAGTGTGATGTGGGGTGAATGATTTGGGTGGTTCTACAAAGGCACAAGCTGCCCTGGCCCCTGACTTCGCCCTCCACCAGCCTGAAGGCTCTAGGAAGGGTCTCCAGATCCTTTGATTTTAAATTCATCTATAGAGAAAATCACCATGTGTTGCTTAGAAGCTATCTAGTGTGTTTTCCTAAGTAAGGCCATCTTCAAATTTGTTTCCCTTTTTTTAAAGAAAATAATAGTTTTGTCATCTTTCATAATTCAAATGCGCTAAGTCAGGGGATGAAATGCCAGCGCCTCTTTCTTCTCTTGTGCTATGGGTCAGTCGATGAGGGACTCTTTACCTTGACTGTTGAAGATTTTCCTAGCACAGGAGTACTCCAAGGGTGCCTGTTTTATTGCAACTCTTCGTGCCTAAGGCATAAAGTCGCACAACCATGCATGGTACAGATCTACTCAGAGTATATTATTAAAAGAGCGGGAAAATGCCCCATTTTCATTAAACAAAGCAAGTATGATTTGCAGAGTTCAGGTATGCCATCATGGAATGTCCACAGTCCTCTGTAGATGCACCGTGAGGCTCAGGCCGCTTCAAAGATTTCCTCCAGACCACATGCTCCAACAGTCCAAATGCAGGGTACAAAGGCCACCTTGCTACTTCCGTCAGAGCATATGGTTATGATTCTATGATAGCCAGGGGTGGTGCTTGCACCTCTAGTTCCAGCATTTAGGGATGGGGCCGAGGCAGGAGGATTGAGAGACTGCAGCTAGCCTAAACTATATCATGAGTTTCAGGCCAGCCTTGGCCATATGGCTGAAGGTGGGAAAATCAGAGAAAGCTATTGATAAAAGGTAACACAATGTGACCTGGCTAAATTCATTTTGCTTGTAAATTACAACCATTTTTCATTAATATATGTTCTCTTGTATAGATGGGTAATTTTTCCTTTGAAGTGACTAGGCAGTTTTGTAGGTGCTGTTATGATTTGCAGAGGGGCTATTATCAAAGCGCAGAACCCACCCTCTGGATGCTTCAATAGCCTTTGAGGAGATGGAGTCCAGAGAACAAGAAGCTGAGAATCTCTGCCTACATGGGAACAGAGGGCCTGATGTCTCGGCTGGAAGAGGGGAGGGGAGGAGCAGGCCGAGCCTCTCCACTGACAGGCACCATTTTGCTTTTGCATGTCTTTTCTTTTTAAATGTGTGTGTGTGTGTGTGTGTGTGTGTGTGTGTGCGTGTGTGTATATGTGTGTGTGTATACACATATACACACATGTGTATGTCAATACATAGATGTGTGTAGGCACATTTTCACATGTATCATCCTCAAGAATACTGCCTACCTCGACTGAGACAGGGTCTCCTGGTGGCCTGGAACTGTCTGATGAGGCTGGGCCGGCCCACAGCAAGCTGTCTATGCCTGTGTCTCCCCAGTGCTGAGATTACAAGTGCATACCACGCCTGGCATTTCTGTGTTGGTTCTGGGACTCCAAACTCAGATCCTCTCGCTTGTAGCTTCCACCTCAGCTCTGCCTCCCTGGCACCTCATGTATGCTACTTTCTTCAGTATAATTCTAGGCATGTAAGGCTAATTAAAGCAGAGTTCAAGGGCAGGGAGGGATTCTGGCCCCAAAGCATTGCCCTCAGTAAGCCAAATAGGGCACTGTGTGCGCTTTAAAAATGATAGTGATCAAAGCAACGTTTGAGAAGCTGGCAGTGATTCTGGAGATTATCAATTAAGCAATCTTCTGAGAAAACCCCTGAGCAATTTAAGATCACAGACACAGCAGCACATGAATAATGACAGGATAGCATTTTGGGAGGAGAGGGGGTTGCTGGGAATAGAACCCAGGACCTTGACCATGCTAGACAAGTGATAAGAGGGCCTTCTGTTAAGATGTTCGAGGGCTATCCTGTAAGAAGACTGAAGCTCTGGGTACTAGTGGCTTTTTTAGAGCATGGACTGGCAAATCAATTATGGCTGCAGCGGCCAAATTTGGCAACCATCCGTTTTTGTAAAGTCTGAACTAAAGTTTTATTGCAACACAGCCAGGCCTGTTCGTGTGCTTATTATCTGCTCTTACCTTACAGTAGCAGAGCAGAGAAGCTGGCCATGGTTTAAATGTCCTGGAATATTTACTATCTGCCCCTTTCCAGAGACTGTTGGCCTATCTAAGATTTATATCCACTTTATATTTTGGCTAAGAGTTTTACCAGACTTAACTGACACAGATTTGAGTCCCTTCTTTGCTATTTTCTGCTTTTGTACTTGTCTTTCCTTTTCCTATCACAGAATGAGGCTCACCCCCGAAAGCTACAGGAGTTGAAGCTGCAAAGTGCTCAGCAGAGACTCTGGCACTAAGCAGATACTTGACAGACCTTAGCCACAGTCATCAAATTAGTGAAAGATCAAGTGAAGCACAAGAGAAACTCAGTACATGGGAACTTAAAAATCTCAAATCCATACACAGCACAAAAGTCAAGAAGCAAAAGAGTGGCCTTGGAAAATCCCTTGAGAAGTTGAGTGTGTGCGTGTGTGTGCACGCACGTGTGTTTTATCATTTTATAAAAGACTATCTCCCAAGAACTTCAATACTGCTGGGTTTCCTTCCAAGATCTAAGGAGATCATTGTTCCTCCTTTCAAGCCACACTGTGGGGGGAAATAATTCTACAGAGTGAACATGAACCATATTCAATATGCTGAGAAGCTCACATTGATGAGCAGAGGAGACCAAGGGGACTGTGGGGACAGCAGCTTCCCAGCTCCTGAACTTCCCAGGGTGGCAGGCATGGTAATCTGACTGGTGAGCTTCCTTTTTCCTGTTTACCTCCCTCCCGACCCTCTTAAGCGCTGCCTCCATTTGGACTTTGTAAATTAAGTAGATACCGTTTTAGAAGAACTAGTAACTGCTTCAAGAAGATACAAGAGCAATGAGATTAAATCTGTGGGTGATGGACAAAGGTACTAATGTTTGTTTGTTTGTATGTATGTATGAAACTCTACTGTAAATGTGTAACTGACATCTAATGTCTATGGGCAGCTGTGAGGAACACCTGTCTCTCATAATTTGGCTTCTAGACACCAAGTAGGATTAGAGTTATCTGTGTGACTCCCCTAAATGGCCAAGATTAAGTGTTCCATTGAGATGTATTTACCTGGGAGAAAACCAGTAGCTCATGAGGCCGGAGACCACCACATATGACACCATGGCTATCCCTGACATGGCAAGCGATACGAAACCCAAGCCACAGAGGATGCAGAGCAGTGAGAGGCCGCACACAGAGATGACCAGTCCTACGAGGAGAGCACAATTAGGAGGTGCCTTTATGTGAAACAGACCGAAAATAAGAAGACCTGGGCCAATGTATTTAAAACAACGACAGCTAACTCAGATGTTTGAAGTCCAGAGAGTTCTCATAAAAGTTCACATTTCTGACGTCATTTAAAATGGCAGTAAGTTCAACACCTGAGCATGCCTCAGCTTCTGGCATCAACTGGCTGGGCCTCTATTTGCCTCCATTCCCTACTGTTCACAAACTAGTATTACACTTGGGATTTCTTTGTGCATTTTGTTGCCTGTCCAGTTTGAGGCTCAGAAAGAATAAGTCATGTCCCAAATCACAATGGTGGTGATGGATGCTTATAGAACACAAGAGCCTGTGTTTTAACTACTCTGACATGCTGCCTTGGACCAGATGTTCAATAAATACCGCCAATATTATTGAGTTACTTCCCAGGAACCTTGGGCAGAGTACCTTCCAGTAATAGGGCCCCCATAAGGGCACCCAGGGAGGTGAACACCACGATAAGCAGGAAGAAGCCAACAGGGATGGCTGACATGGTAACAAACATCAGCATGCTGAGAGCCAGGAAAGGATGCCTGTCCAGGTACTGACCCACTGAGGACTTCATAAAGGCAACCACCTGCAGGCAAAGGAAAAAAGAGCCAGGGTTGAGTGCTGTGTCTGCATCTCAGATTGAGCTGATCCATCCAGCGGGGAGAAGTACAGCCAGCGTTAGAGGCCCTGACAAGTCAGAGGCCCGTAGGCATCAGGACAAAACATCTCCAGAGACATGAGGCACCTGGCAGCAATAGAAGGCAACTGTGGGAAGGGTGGCAAGCATGAGGTTCCCACCCAGCATCAAGATCTCTGAGAGGAGGAAAGGTCGTATCACCACTCTCTTGCCTAACACCCACCCTCTCGGAAAGACACTGTCTTATGTGTACAATGAACGTACAATGTCCCTACTGCTCTGCAGCCAAGGTTCTCTTGGCTGAGGTCACCAAGGAACAGAGGGGTTAAGTCCTAGCTACTTAGCATCACTCAAGAGCTTATTGGAGATGTAGAACATTAGGCCCTACCTGGTACCGTTGCATCCAATTCTGCTTTTCAGCAAGAGCGTAGGTGATTTGTGTGTATGTTAAAGTTTGAAATGCAATGGACTAGACGGCTTATCTGGAGTCACCCAGTTTCCAAGGGACAAAATCTGAACATGCAGAGCTAAGATCTTTGACACCAAATGTCAAATGCATGCAGTGACTCGCCACCATGCCAATGCTTTTGTGGTACCAATCTGAAGTTATACTGGGCCACAGCCTGATGAGGGCAACCATATGGTGCTTTAATAAACAGGTTACGCTCCTTCACAAGGCTAAGGAATGGGGGAACCAAACTCCATGGAGAAGGCTGGTTTAGTGCAGAGCTGATCTTAGTCATAGGACGAGTGTCCTCTCACTTTTCAAGTCTCACTCTCTCATTACCAGCATTAAAGCCCATTCCTTGAAAGATCCCATTACTTGAAAAACTCCCTCTAAAAAAGAAACCATCAACCCAGCTATAAGCCCTGTAATCTACAACTGTGACCTCTTTGCATGATACCTTGGTGCAATAGTGGCACAAATGCTGAGGGAGTTACCACTCTATGATTTGATTCAAGGCTCATTCCATAAAATAGAAGCCATATTTTAACAAACAAACAAACCAAAACAAACCAAAACCAAAACCTGGACTAGATAGGCCATGGGCCTTGGGATGATGACTGAAAACCACCACCCGACTCATTTTGTTTTAAAATAAAAGCACTTGAATTATATATGTGGCTCAGATATGTATGCTGGAATATGTAAGCTTTATCTCAAGAGAATACTAACGAGAATAAGGGTGAGAGTGTGTGGCCAGGGTGTGATAGACACAAGGGAGCAATTTAAGGAAGATGAGCCTAGGATGGGTGTACAAGAGGCAATTAGGGAGACTGGCAGAAAATCAGGCCAGAGTATGAATGGCCAAATCTGGGCGATTGGGGAGGGGAGCGATGTAGCCTGAAGGTTAAGAGAAAACAATAGGAACTGGTGACAGTTTGACATGGAGGTCCAAGAAGCAACAGGTAAGACTGTTCTACTTCCAGTCCTCAGAGAACCCCCTCCCTGAGATCCTCTCTGAATCTGGCCTCTAAACACCCCCAAACAGGAGGTCATTCAGAAATACAAAGACACTATTTTTAGAGTCTGACAATTAAGGCAGGATGGTGGCACATAGGCATAGCTCTAATTCCAGCACTTGGGGGACTGAGGTGGGAGGGGGGATTGTGAGTTTGATGTCAGGCTGGGCTGTCTATTAAAATATTATTTTCTTAAAAAAGGGCAGGGAGGAAGGAAGGAAGGAAGGAAGGAAGGAAGGAAGGAAGGAAGGAAGGAAAGAAGGGAAAAACAATCACATTACCAATAGATTCAACCATTTGGTGATTTGAATGAGAATGGCCATAGACTCAGATATTTGAATAACTGGTCCCCAGCTAGAGGCTGTTTGGGTAGGTTTGTGAGGCGTGACCTTGCTGGAGGAAGTCTGTCACTGAGGGTAGGCTTTGAGGGTTTAAAGACTTACACCATTATGAAACTGCTGTTTCCAGATGTGGGCTCTCAGCTATCCCTGCCACCATGTCTTCAATTGCTGCCATGCTTCCCCCATGTGATGGTGAAGGACTCTTAGCCACCTGGAACCATCAGCCCACATAAAACTCTTCCTTCTATGAGTTGCTTTGATGGTGATATTTTATCACACCAATAGAAAAGTTTCTGAGACAAAACTGTTCAACCCAGAAATTGCTTTCTCTGGGAAAGAACGACCTTGGTCAGGTCACAGTGTTGTGGAAAGAGACAGCATGGTTCATCCATACCTGACATTTACACCCATTAAACACAAGTTCCGGGTGCTTTTTTTAACCTGCCCAAATGGGCTAACATCTTACCAAGTGCAAAGCCAAAATAAGCATGGCTAAGAAGGGTTACTACCTGCAGCAGGTAAGGAGAACAAAGGAGCCATTCCCAAAGTAACACCTTCTTCAAAAAAAGGAAGCATGCGGGCTTTATTAAAAGAGCCTAGACATATCCATACAGGAAAACGCTGTAGAGGTGAGCACATTGATGAGCATGCTCAGTTCAAGAAGGACGGATAGCGAACAGATTTGGAGACACACTTAGCTCAACAACACAGAGGACATGTTCAAAAGGTGAGAACAGCAGAATGTCATAAAACAGCGACATGAACTCCTCTGGGTATGTTCCATTCTCTTTCTCTCTCACACACACAATTCTGTGGTGTTTTATAGTAGATTCAGGCACTATCCACCTTTATTTTGAAACAAGGTTTATCGCGGGCTTGGAACACACCAAGTAGGGTAGACTGGCAGGCCACTGAGGCCCAGAGATCCATCCACCTGTCTCCACCTCCAGATGGAGGCATAGAGTACAAACCATCACTCCCGATTCTTTTTCAAAGAAGGTTCTGAGACCCCAACTCAAGCCCTCAAGCACTTTACCTGACGACCGTCTCCCCAGCCCCATTTTCTTCAAAAGTTTTAACTGAAAAAAAGCAAAGGTGCCAAGTGTGGTGGCACATACCTGTAATCCCAGCACTCAGGAGGCAGAGGCAGGCAGTTCTCTGTGAGTTCGAAGCCAGTCTGGTCTACAAAGCAAGCTCAAGGCTACACAGAGAAACCCTGTCTCAAAATAATAAAATAAAACAAAGCAAAAAAAGAAAGGGCTACTTTGAAAGTGTGTCAGTCCAGGACTTTTTCCTAAACGTGCCTGCCTGGCTTAGTAGCAAACATTTCAGACCCTCTCTAGATCTTTGTATGTGTTTCCCTACAGAGTTGTGAGTGGACAATGAAGAGCAGCTTAACAATACGCAAGTCCAAAAGCTTTGACCATCACCACTTTTCACTTTCCTGGCAACAGAGTGCACACAACGGAAGGACAGAAAGTGAGGGGGCTTAGCATGCAGTGGCAGGCCCTGCAATTTTCATTCTCTACCTTGGAGGTAGAGACAGGCCTCTTACCCACGCCTTATAGACATGGGCTGCATGGAATAACTCAGAATGGCAGACCGGGAGAATATGGCACCATCTATTTAGCCAGGCTCAGTGCAAGAGCCTTCTCACATGGCATTCCAGATAATCTCCCAGCAGCCCAAGGCCTGGTGTTGCTCATCCCAGATAACAGCAGCTGGAAACTAACTCAATTAATGTGCCCAAGGTCAGACAAGGGTGGTTTCTTTATAAATGCACTCTGGCATGAGAGTTGGAGAGTTGGATCCACATGGTCAGAATTTGTGACACGAAGGTTCCACCTGAGGCTATTCACAGCCAGGAAAACTCTACTGTGAGAAGGTAAGGCAATCAACTCACTGTTTCTTGCTGCCTTGCATGAGCAGGACCCAGTGGGCAGGGAACAGAGACAGCACTCAGGAGCATTATGCAAGTGAAAACAAGTCAGAGATACTATGCAGAGACAGCTGCTCCCAGATTAGGCTTTGGACACCTGCTGGCATGTGACTCAGGTAGGGCACACAGATGCCTGGGGAGGTGGGCTCTAAAATGTTCAAGCCAGGCGTGGTGGTGCACGCCTGTAATCCCAGCACTCAGGGAAAGAGAGGCAGGTGGATCCCTGTGAGTTCAAGGCCAGCCTGGTCTACAAAGTGAGCCTAGGACAGCCAAAGCTACACAGAGAAACCCTGTCTCAAAAACCCAAAATAATAATAATAATTAATAATAATAATAATAATGTTCCTTGTGGCAGGGAATTTACAATATAAGAAGAAAATCATCTGTCACAGATAATTCACATTGGGAGCTGCTAACCCTGGTCACTTGCTGTGTCTGTCTTCCTCTTCCCTGAAAACTACTCCCTCCCACGGCAGGAGGATACCCCATAATCCATGAGCATTTAAAAGGAAATAAAGATCCCAGTCCGACAGCCACCTCCACAGTCTCAGGTGGATGTGCCAACTACACTCTTGTTTCTATGAATAGAAAACTCCCAGATCTTTAACAGGTGCTAAAGGAGATGTGAGGGGAGAAGGGGACCAGCCTGGACAACCATGTTTGCCGACATTGAATGGGAAAGCCAAGGGAAAGTGGGCTGTGCAGTCTGGAAGTGAAGCAAATGCCCAGAGAGCTAAGGTGAGAAGCTACACAGCCCAACGATGAAGGCATTTGAGAGTTACTTCTGGCTCCAGTCATTGGCCCGACCCTGGCTCATTCTAGTCCTGAGGCACCCCTGCTTTAATCCCACCATGGGCCCTGAGGAAGTCTTAAATCCTCCTGAAGTCATGGAAGGGCCTATCTGTTGGCTTGCTTACACTACTTTGAGCAGGTCCCTGTCTCTTGAGTTCTAGAAGTAAGACAATTAATACCTGGCCACACACTCCAGACAGGACGGAGCAACTTCGCGCCCATTCCATCTGGATCCCTATCTTGTCTCGTCTGAATTTCAAAGAGCTCATTAAACCATGAGGAAAAAAAGCACAAATTACATGGGGAAAGACATTTTCTACCCTTCCCAGAGACAAGAAGTGGTTATGCAAATTATGGTATGTCAATCTGATATCCTTTGTCGGTGTTCTAGTGGCACATGTAAATTATTCTGAAGACTCATACTTCAGTATGAAGGAAACAGCACCATGCCAAGTGAAAATAAAAACACACAAGTACTTCTGCTGTGGCCACACTCACTATTACATAAAACATTATATATCTCACACACCAAAGGGTTAAAGGGTCATCACCCTTACAGGAGCCACCACCGTGTCTATTAGTGATGGCCTTTGTTATGATTTGAATGTAAAGGGCTCCTGCAGACTTACATCTTGAAGCCTGAGCCTCCAACTGCTGGTGGTTGTGGAAACAACAGGAGACAGAGCCTAGCTGGAGGAAGAGGCTCACTGGAGGCATGGCTTAGAGGCAATCTCTATGTCTCTCTCCGTGTCTTGTCTATCCCCACTACTTCCCGGCAACCATGATGTGGGCTGCTTTGTTTATGCTGTTCTCTGCAGGAAGATGCTCTAAAACCTTGAGCCTAAGACAAATCCCTCCTCCCTCAGTTGTTTCTCGGGTATTTTTATTTGTCAGAGCAACAGAAAATTGACGGATGCAAGTGTTGCATCAGTGTTTTGCTTTCCTTCTTCCCCCAAAGTCACTTTGTGTTAATGTAACCGGCGGGCTGAAGACGAGATGGCTCAGTGGTTAAGAGCCACTTACTGCTTTAACCAGGCCTTGCATTCAGTTCCCGGAACCCACACAGAGCAGCTTACATTTGCCTGGAACTCCAGTTCCAGAGATCCAGCGCCCTCTGCTGGCCTCTTCAGGCACCACACACATGATATACACACGTGCGGTCAGGCACACACATACACATCACAGAAACATTTTTAAATGGCAATCAATGTAACTTAATATGCTATATACTTGTAAGAGAAATAATTCCATCTCAGGGCCACCTGAGAACTGACAATTTCCTCACCTTTCTGGGAGTAGGCTAGCCTGGTAATAATCTAGCTCAGATCTACTCCAGGGCACACAGCTGAGTGTTGAAAGGTAAAAAATAAGAAGACAGTTCATCTGCTCTGAAGTGCTAACCTTAGGTATAACTAAGGCATGCAAAATGCCTGGTACAGGCTTGGGACTTAATAATGCCTCAATCGGGTTAATAAATACACGGTCAGTTCTTATCCTCTGCAAATCCCAGGTTTGAGGATTTTTGACTCAATTAACTTTATCTCTAACCTAAATCAGTCCTTCGAGCATCTTTGATGTCAAGATTGGGTCACCTGACAAGAACATTCCCAGCTTGTTACCGTCTGCACCTGAAATTTAACAGGCCCCACACCCTCACCCTTGGTTAAGCTGTTAACACATGAGCCTTTCTGGGACATGGAAGAGCCAAACTATGGCGTCCTGGCCTATTTAATGCCACAAAGTTCACATTTTTGACTTCTGTTTGACAATCCCGCTGTTTAAAATACACACCACCACCAGCACCACCACCATCAGCTTTCTGTTACTGTTCCTCATGAAAAAAAAAAAAGGCGTGTTTGTTTGAGACATGTATTAGCCTGCTGCTAGCCCTAAGTTCAATGTCAACAGTACATACACATTAATGCATATACATTAATGCATCTTTCCAGAAATACACATAAAATAAGGACATACACTGATCTGTTTACAAGTACATTGTCACTTGAAGATTGGAGAACCCGAGTTCCTTATTTGCCGCAGAATCATGGTCTGTTTGGTATTTGCTTATCCAGCGTCTATGATGATCTCCCACAAATCATGAAAATGAACTGTGAATGTACAGAGGCCACGAGGACCTTTCTTACCGAGCTCACTCACCAAAGAGTCCCGGACAACTGACTAAAAGGCTGCCTGTCCATTTTAAAAATAGCCTGCTAAACCGGCAGTATGCCGAATGCATTCTGAAGCAAGTCCAAAGACGACCTCTGTGAAGCATAGGCTTTAGACGGGAAAGTATCTGTTTTATAGAAGCTGGTGAACAATGGTGGTGGTGGTGGGGAATCACACAACAGTTTCCATCACTTTATAGGCATACACACTCCTACCTGCACGTGGCACAGAAGTCTAGAAAGACATGCAACAAAATGGTAATAGCATTAGCTAGCTAGTACTGTTTGCTTTTTAGAAACATCTTTTTCTATATACAATGTACATACAATGTAATTGCATGAGTGTGTTTTCATGCCTGTGAGTGCATACATGGAATGGTGCCTGTGTGGAGGCCTGAGGGCCACCTCAAAGGTTGGCTCTTGTCTTCTGCCAGGCTGTTGGAAACAGGGTCTCCTTGGTTTTCTTTTGTTGCTGTTGTTATGGCACTGAATAAGACAGGATAGCTAGCCACGAGCTTCCCAAAACCCTGCTATCTCCACCTCTCCATTTTGCCACAGAGATGCTGGGATTATAGAGGTGTGCTACGCCCATCTTTACGTGGAGCCGGAAACTCAAAATTAAGTTCTCACGATGGCCAGTCAAGAACACCACCAACTGAACCATCTCCCCAGCCCTAGCATTTCGTGTAAATGCTGAAGGGCATACAAAAGAAAACAATAAAAACACACATGCAAAGAAATGTAGTACCTGAAATCCCACCTCATTGAGTGGTGACTGAACAGCAAAAAAACACGGTTAATTTGTATCACAATAGTCCTGTAGAGGTAAATGACAGTCTAGATTTCAGAGGGAATGTAAAACACTTTCTTTTCCATTAATTATTATAATGACTACCTGCTGAAATGATACTATTTTTGATACATTAAATAAGATATAGTCTTAAAATTAACCCATTGCTTCTTTGTACTTAGGGTTTGGAACCAGAAAATTTGAATACACATGTGGCTCAGGTAGCATTTCTGCTGGATGGGCTATTTCTAGTAAAACACAAAACTCAGATCTTAAGTTAGGTATGGGCTGTCTCCTTTTCTTAGGGGAACAGATGAGCCAAACTTTTCAAAGAAAAGAACGGTGTATGCTGCATAGACTAAGGGTGTCTTCTTCAGATCCAGCTGAAAAATGGCAGTTGCCATGAAGGGTGACTGCCCAACCGAAGTTTGCATTACATGGGGCGTAACTGAAAGTATTCTGCAGTTCTTGGCGACGTCCAGAAATATTCCTTAATTTGGAGGTCCCCTGAGAATGATCTTTCTTCCCACTTCCCTGCTGCCCCATTGCCTTGAATGTCCATATGATGGCTGATGCTCTCGCAGCCACAGCGGACGTGGCTATGAAGGTCACAACTCGGGCATAGCAAGGTGCTAGGGGAAAGATTCCCGACCTGCTGGTAAATTCCTGTTTGAGAAAGAAAGCAGTGTTTCAGACTAGTGTTTAGCTGGCTTCCCGGTGTATTTGGCCTTGGACACTGACCTTCGAGTTATTCTGGAAGGACTCTAACAGCAAACACAGCTTCCTCTGCAGCTCCTGTAGGTCTCTGGAGACACTGGGGGGCCCTTCTTTGGCCATCTTCAATCGCCCTTCAGTCTCACTCTAGATGAACGCCTTCACCAGTGGCTTTATTACTGCAGCCCAGTCTCTCATGGCGCCCTGTCTCTTCCTATCCCTGAAGGAAACAAAAAGTTTCTTGAATCACCAGTAATATCCAGGGAGCCCGGGCCATCCCCTACACTCTGGTGGCAGGCATGCAGACAGACACCATGTGACGATATTTTTCAAAATCTTAGGCTGCACACATTTTGATCCAGCAATTTGTTTTTCACAAAGCTAAATAAAATAGATATATGAAGATACACCAAAAGGAGGTGTATCATATTCCTGTCTATAATACATAATGACCAACAAGATAGCAGAAAGAAGCTAAATTCTTTTTTATAAACACTTCACTGGTACACACACATACACACGGTATGGAAATGTGTCCAGTTAGACATACTTTTAGCCCCGGGTGAGTTTTCAAATTAAAAAAATATAGACATATTATTCTTATTTTCTGTTTCCCAGAACATCTGTCTGGGCTGGGCAGAAGGCATCTCTGCACGTCTCCTTGCAGCTAACCTCCTGATCGTAAATACGCGTTGCTCAGTTGATTCTGTCAAGGTGCCAAAAATAACCGAGAGATCCTCACGTTTATTTACCGTATTGAATATCCCACTGGCCTCTAACCCAGTGAGGAAACATACCTTATGTCTACACTGCATACCAGCGTCTCCACTACAGAGTCTGGTATGCACACTTTCAGGCACACTTTTCCCCTGGCCGGGGGTGAAGCAACTCCTGCACCAGGATTTCTGTTGTTAAAGAGCTGCTGGCATTGACGTTGAATTTAGGGTGGTGACAGCCTTCAGTGTAGCTAATCTCACCTCTTACTGAGCGCTAAAACAGGTGAAACTGTCCCCTTACAACTCTTCTCTGGCCTGGGAACCTGAAGGTGGCACTGGGACCGGTCTGGGGATTCTGGTGAAGGCAAGCGTAGGAAAAATGAGGAGGAGGAGGAGGAGGAGGAGCGCGGTCAGCACACGCATCTACCTGGCCACCAGTTTCCGGCGCATCTATTCCCAGGGTCCACTGCAGACTCCGAGCAGGGAAGGCGCCACCCCACCCAGCCTAGGGGCGCCCCGCCTAGGGGCTCTAGGGGGCATAGCTGGGTTCTCAGAGAACAGGCCCCGCCCCTTCCAAGGCTCCAAATAAAGCCTCGGCTCCCGACTCCCGGCTCCCGACTCCCGGTAGCAAACGGCCACCGCGAACGTTCCAGCTGCGGGGCTGGTGGAATCCCCAGCTGGGGGCAGGGCCATCGGGGCGCCTGGGAACCTATCCTGGTCCCCTTCTCCGACGAGGGTTGAGACTTTCAGTCTGTGGCCGGGGATCCACAGAGAAGGAAACCGGTGTGATGCAGACGAGGATCTGACCCGCGACTACCGGGCACAGAAACTAGGAGATGGGAACTCGAGTGGGGAGTGGGGGAGATTGGGTACTCTGAGTTGATCACCTGGGGCAAACCTACCTTTAACACCTGTAGCTCCCTCTGCTGTGGCGCATGGCACCCTTGTTGACCAATCTCTACGGAGGGGGTGTGGATGCCCAGACGAGACTCCCCATCTTCCCGTGCATGTTTCCCAAGAGGAGGTAGGGCCTCGCGCGTGGGTTGACACTGCCCCCCGCCTTTTTTTTAACCAAGTCTAGCTGCCGGTGTGTAAAAGCGAGGTGGCTAGGAGTTCCCCCGTGAGCTCCCAACTTGGCCCAGCGACCCGAGGGCTCAGACAACTTCATCACCGACCCAGAGGCCGACCACTACCGGCGAGGGAAGCCAGTGCATTCTCCCGTGGCCGCCACCCTCCCCCCCCCCCCCCCCCCCCCCCCCCCCTCCCCCGGCGGGGGAAGCCGGGGCATTCCCCCGTGGCCGCCCCCCCCCCCCCCCCCCCCGAAACTCCTCCAACTTTCCAGGCGGAGGATGGAGGGTTCAGCCAGCCGGGGTCCCCTAAGCTCCACACACCCCCAGCTTTGCTCTCTCACCTGGTGCTGGCTGCTGCGACCCTCCGCTCTGCAACCACCGAGGGCACCGAGCGAAGTGGGAGGGAGGAGGGAAAGCGGCGCAGGCCCGAGCCGGGGCGGGAGCTGGACCGGCCCCTCCCCACCGGCGAGCGCTCTTCCTCCTCCCGGGACCAGGCCCCGCCCTGCTGCCCCGCCCTTCGCCCAGGCTCCTCTCCCCCTTCCTCCTAGCCAAGGACCGGGTCCCCGCCCCGCCTTCCCGGCCTGAGCGGGAAGGATTCGGTGTTCTGGCACCGAACCCCGTGGCTGCCCGCTTTGCTAGGCGGCCTTGCCTCTTCCCACACACCCTAGGAACAGCCCCTACAAACTAGAGTCCTCTAGACTCTAGAGGATGACTAATGAGGAAATGAGGGCTTTCCTACAGCCGTGGCTCGGAGTGAAAGTTCTGGGGCCACCTCTCAGGAGGGCTGGCGGCCGAAGGTGGGTCTTTTTAGAAACAGAACCGGTTCTGAATTCACCCAGGAGTTCCGAGTCACACCAGCCAACGGGTGGTTAGGCACCTCCCGTGGCTGGAAGGTTCTAGCCATGGCACAAGGGCAAATGTTGGCAGCCAGAGAATCTTAGAGATGAATGATCTCCACTCTACAGATTTAAAAACAAACGGAGAGCTAGAGGGATAAGGTTCATAAATAAACCCAAATCCTCTTCTCAAGGGTTCGTGGTAGGGAAACCTGTTTCCTGGTTCCAGATCTAGGCCTGAGGAGCCCAGTTACTCAATGGCGGTGCTGTTGGCATTTGAGATGGGATGAGCCTGTTTCTGAGCTGTCCTGTGTGCACTGTGGGGTGCTTGGTAGCGTTCCTGGGCTCTACCCAGGAGGTAAATACAAACACAGCAACGGCCTCCCCCAGCTGGCACGACTTAAAATGTTTCCAAGGGTTTGGGGATGGGCGCAATCAGCCGGTATTCAGAAATACTGCTTTTGAGCTTACAGCTGAGAACTATGGGCTGGGGCTATCAGGGACCAGGTCTGGCTGTGGCTGTGTGATGTTGCTGAAGGCCTTTTCACCCTTTCGATGGGGCAAAGGGCCAGACCAGGTATGTGTCTGCTACTAAACAGGTCACAGGCTCTTTCCATCCAAAGACCTGCAGTGACCCACCTCTCCTGTGTTCCCTGTGCCTGTCTCATCCTAGAGAGGGACTCTTTGGGTGAAGAGAGAAACTACAGGGTTATAGTGAGTACAACGGGAAGGGTGCCTTTAAAGAACGGAGTGCTTATCAGGCACATAGTAAGGGCTCAAAAATATTACACGGGGATAGGAAGGAAGACTGGGAAGCTAGCTTAGCGGTTAGAGCCCTGTTTGCTCTCCCAGGGGACCCAGGTTCACAAAGCGGGTCAGAACCATCTCTTAACTCCAGTTCCAGGGGATCTGGTGCCCTCTTCTGGCCCCAGTGAGCGCTGCATGAATGTGGTGAAAAGACAGAAGGACAAACCACCCATACACAATAAACAAACAAACAAACAAACAACTAACTAACTAAATACTTTAAAAATACATTCCACAGGGTTAGGGAAAGTGGTAGCGTGTTTTCCTGTAATGCCCATAAGCCGTTGTATCCAATACCTAATCGCGGGGTTCGATGTGGCCGTGGTGGTGGTGGTGGTGAAGAAGTTTAAGGAATCCCACGCCAACTCCATGACAGCAGAAAGGGGAAATGAGGCACACAAGGTGCATGGGTAGACAAGGGTGTCCCTGAAGGTTTTAGTTTCAGGCGCTCTTGTCTGGCTGCGTACACTTTCTGTAGCTGCAGTATAGCATAGTATTTCTCACCTAGGTGGGCAAGGATGGGTTTGTTTTCCTTAGACCATCAGGCCCTCCCGCTCTTTGCTTTGGAAAGTGGAGGCTTCTCTGGGATTTCAGCTTACGGGCGCCATCTAGTGGCGCCTCTTTGAATCCTGCTCTGGGCAACATCCTTTTTTTTAAACAGTAAGCAGGTGGTGCCACTGCCTCGGCTGTGATAACTTATCTTTCCCACCTGGGGGTCTAGCGTCTCTGTAGCATCAGGAACTTGGCTCTTGATGAGCGTTTAAAGGATTGACAAAAGTAAACCCATGTGAAGTCTCTCCTGGGCCTTTCCACGGCTTCTTACAGCAGTGAACTGAATACTTTTATCCCTTTGTGCCCCAATGTGATGGTATTAGGAGGTGGGGGCCTTTGGGAAGTCATTAGTCAAGAAGATAAAGCCCTTATGAATAAGATCAATGCCTTTTAAAGGTAGTCAAAAGAGAGAGACACACACACACACACACACAGAGAGAGAAAGCACACCTGCTTTCCTCTTTCTACTAAGGGAGAGCACAATGAAGAGCTGACCATCTAGACTCCTCCCTGTAATTTCACCAGGCTGGCACCCAGACTTCAGACTTCCAGCATTTTGAACTATAGGAAATGTTTCTTGTTGCCTTTTTTTTTTTTTTAAATAAGTCACCTAGCCTCAGGTACTTTGTTATAGTAGCCCTAATGGGCTAACACGTTTGTTCTAGTTAAGCAGTTTTGTTTTTTTTTTTGCAGCCCTCTGAGATCTACCCTGATCTCTTGGCTCTGAAGAATAAAGGGGGGCTGGGGCAACGCATTGACCCTAACTGTTAACAGTCAGGTTAATAACATGACCAAATCCAGCTGACCTTTCCTTCCTGGCTTACCAGATTTAACAACTACGACTATAGAATATTCAGTTAAATTTCTTGCCTCAATTTCTAATTGAGGCAAATAGCCTATAGCTTTTTGATATAAGCATGTCTCAGATGTATTCAGGATATATTTATTAAAATGGAGTATTTTGCTCAAGGAATGCTTATCTGATATTCTGACTTAACTGGTCATCCCGAGTTTTACCTGGCGACCCTGGGGACAATGAGGACAGTGGGGTCCTAAGGTTGACACCCTTTCTTGAGACTAAACAGACAATTCTGCCAACTCTCCTTCAGGTGGGGTGTCCTGAGGGGTTAGTCCTCTCTCCTCCTCCTCCTCCTCCTCCTCCTCCTCCTCCTCCTCCTCCTCTTCCTCCTCCTCCCCTTCTTCCATTTTCCTCTCTCGCTTTCTGTCTCCCTCTCCCTTTTCTCCTTTGCAGATAGGGTCTCACTTTTAGCCCAGCCCAGCTATCATTCCTCAGTCTACACATAGGCTTTTAACTGTAGCAATGAGCAGTTTCCATAACCACATTCAAGTCCCAGCTCTGCTGTTGACCTATTGGATTGACTCTATGCAGATTGGTTGGTGAGCTAGCTGGTTAGTTTAGTTTGGCTAGATTTTTATGTTTCCCAAACAGAAAAATCGGGAGAATGAGACTTTTCTCTTGTATTGTTGAGAAGATTGTGAGAGGATGCCCTTATGTGATGGACAGAACTCCAGAAGACCCATGACTGCAACAGAAGGTCTTGTTGTTTTAACGCCTTTGAGCACAGCCAGATTTTAAAGTGCATTACATTTCAGATAAGAGCTTGTCTCCTTACCCAGGAGGCCATGGGCCCATTAGCAACTATGCTAGTCTCTTTCTATTCTTTACACACATGGCTGGGAGTCTCTCAGATGTACAGTTCACTGATACAAAGGGCTGACTCTATACATTTTGTGTGTGTGCTGGAGAGCAAATCTGGACCACACGTGAGCCAGGCCAGCGTTCTGCCACACTTGAGCTACAGTTAGACCCTCTATGCACTTTATGGTAAGAGAGATTAGCATTAGGAACGAGGGAGGTCAGGGTTATTTTGAAGTGTAGGGAGGAGAATCTTGAGCATAAAGTGAGAGAAAAGAAACAGAAATGCTTTGGTGCTTTTCAGCAGGGCTGAAAAAACATTTATGCCCTGCGCAGTTGCTCGGTGGAAAGAAGAGTTAAAAAAAAAAAAAAGTTTCATGTTGTATCCACTCTGATTAAGCAAAGCCAAGGTTGGAAAACTATCTGTCTGTTTTGTTTTCTTCATGCAGAACATGGGAACATCATGGAATTAAGGGAAATACTCGATGAAGAGACAGACATACACCATAGCATCTTGAAAGAGCTTAATAAGTCTAACTTGGTTTTAAAAGAATTTCCAAGGCAGCAGCTAGTGCAGTGATGAATCTTGGGTACGTGTGTGTGAGAGCAAATGTATGTATGTATGTATGTATGTGCCTGTGACTATCATATTGGCACTAGCCATAACATTCATAAGGAGCCTATGTTACACTGAATGACAAAACTGTCCCAAATGACTCAGGACAGAGAAAGGTCTCAAGATGCAATACTACAGTGGGGAAGTTGGGAAAGGGCCAGGTGTGCAGCTCGGCTGGTAGGATGTCTGCCCATCATGCATTGGGCTGGTCTCCAGTATTGTGTAAACTGAGGGCGGTGGTCCACACCGGTACTCACGGCACTTAGGAGCTGGACACGATGGTCACCGTTTCAAGGTTTTCTTCACTCTCTCAATGTGTGTGTGTGTGTTTGAAAGTTTGAGGCAAATTAGGATGAGTTTACAGTGTGCAAACTGTTCTAAATGTATCTTCCTATTGAACCCTGGGGTGGGTGCTCATGATATTACCAGGATTTATACATGAAAGCTGGTACATTCACTCAAAGACATGAAGGGGTTTCCTCAAGCTGCACATCGCTTAGTGGGAAGTGCAGGGGCTGAGTGAGACCACTCCAACTCAGCACCAGCCTGGGCCTTTAGACCTCCTCCCCCAGGGCAAGATCTCCTATTGCTACATTCCTGGGCCGTTACTAAATACCGCCATCTCCCTTCTGTCACTGATACTTCCTGCTGCTCAGCTCAGCCTCCTCAGGAGCCAGCAGGTCAAGCCCAGTCTTGTGCTTAAGCATAGAAGAGGCTTCTCCTCCTAGCAACAGTCACTTACGCCTGGTTACCCACCACTGAGCTTGGGTACAAGCTCCACGACTATTAAAACTGCTCAAGGGAGAGGGAGAGGAGCCTAGGCTCCCAGGGGTGTTATCTGGGATAGCGAGTCCACCCTCTTCTTCATATTAACATGTAACTGTGCTTCAATTTTGTCCTCTGCAGAGACTTCAGTGTGCTCTGGGAAGTTCCAAGAAACTACTGAAAAGA